GCGTCTAAGTTGTGGTGAGAGTTATTTTTTTAAGTATAAGAAACTTTACACATTGAGCATCCTTTTTTATGAGCCAAACCCTAACTCCTACAACAATTTTAATTTTTAGAAAGTCAACTTTAAATTTGTGGCCAGTGAAATTTGAATATGTGTTATTAATATCATAACTATTACACCAAAACTCCGAATGTGGTGAAGGTTGAGGGTTATATTTTCAAATTGTAACAATTACCAAAGTAAAATGGTAGAAGTTGTAGTCTCTCCATGGTTAATTTTCTCAAGTCACGGTTAGGTTATGATCATAAGCGAACATGGACGGATCTATTGAATTTGAGATCATATGGCAACGGAAGAGAAGAGAAGAGAAGAGGCTCCATTTTTGCTTTTATATATGCATGGCGCTTTCCACAATTCTTGTAAGAGTATAAATAAATTCCAAAAAAAAAAAGAACTCTTATGTTTCACTGTCTTGGGAGATAACCTCTCTAAAGTTCAGAAACTATCACTTAATTCCCTTTAAATTTTGTTAGATTACAACTTCCTGGTTAGGATCGTAGACTTGATGGTGCATGTGAAAATCATGAGGATACAATTGATCAAAATGTCCATAAAGGAAAACTCCCTCTCATGTCATTTTAATAACTTTAAAGATAATTAATTTTCACAAAACCAAATTAGGTTTGGTCCAAGTTTGACTGAAATACCCTGAATTGACAATTAGAGCGTTCATTAAAAAGAAGATATTTTAGTCTTTTTACTTATTCATCTAACACCTTCAGGGAAGTTAGCAGAAAATATCAAAAAACCTTTGGAAATTTTCTAAAACACATCATCCTTAAGGTGGATTAAGTGACATTGTTAAAATGTACGTGCTATTAAGTTAAAGCGCCATTGATATTTACCTATACTTAATTTAAATAACTATTGTTAAAATGTACGTGCTATTAAGTTAAAGCGCCATTGATATTTACCTATACTTAATTTAAATAACTTGCTATTAATATAAATAACTTGCTATTAAACATTTGTAGTTAGCATATGCTTACTGGTGTGAACGAATTAGGTGTGCTCAAGAATTTGGATCCTCTTTACTATGAGAAAAAATAGCGGAGAGATCATTACTCTAAACATACTTTTTTATTTGTATAGTAGTGGATGATTATGATTCAATTTCAATTTTAAAAAAAATCACTACATATCAATGAATTATACTCGTTCTTAATTGACCCTCAAATACAAATCATAATCATCTGCTAAGTTAATTAACAGTTGCGATATAGTACCAGCCTCTCCATGGCTCAACACATTAAGGCCCTTTTTTCTGGTGAAGGTTATTATCATTAGCCCTCCAAGTCAGAGGAGTGCAGAATAATTATCATATGAGAAGCGCTACGATAGAATTAACTCTGAGTTTGGTAATGTTGGAAGTGGGATGTATGCTTAGATGGGATGGACATGATTGCTATAATTTTTTTGACTAACTCAGAGAAAGAGGCGAAAATATAACGAGCGAAAAACCAAAAGCAAACTAGCATAAGAGCACACGCAATTTTTATAGTGGTTCGGATCAAAATTTTATGACCACTCTTCCTTCTCACAAGGTCTTCTTCTACAATTTTTTTGACTAACTCAGAGAAAGCGGCGAAAATATAATAAGAGAAAAACCAAAATCAAACTAGCACAAGAGCACACAAAACTTTTATAGTGGTTCGGATCAAATTTTTATGACCATTCTTCTTTCTCACAAGGGTCTTCTTCACTATGATCAGAGTTCACCTGAAACATAATTTGATTCAATAGGTTTCAAAGACCGCATCTTAAAATCTACCCGAAATCAATCGTCTAACCTAACTCTTCATAATGACTAAAAGAAGCCTACCTCTAGCTAGTCACACCCACAATTGAGCTGGCTTGAGTACGCCAACCCTCAATTACCTTGGCTTGAGCACATAGTCAAACTTACAAGTTTGAAACATAAAACTAACCCAAAATAATTCAAAGCACAACTAGAAAAACCTTACAACCCTTCTAACAAACCACCCTTTAAATTAATGATGATGAATATATGTGAAAAAGCAATGTTAAAGTTGAACGCAAATGGCATTTCTCCTCACTGAAATAATCCTTCGATAAATGATCCTTCGATGATGAGTGCGATGAAAAGAAGTTGAACAAGGTTCTGAGTGTTAAATTCTCAAATCAAATTCTCTCACAAACCCTAGAATAAGAATTTCCTCTCTTCTTGTTCTCTTCTTCTCCTCCCTTTTAAATAGACATTGATAGCATAGGAAAGAGATACCTTAATCAAAGTCCAAATAAGAGATCAGAAGTACCAATGAATGGTCGAGATTAAAACCTAAAATCTGCCAAAACTCGTCATAATTATTGATGGTCCATTGATGATCATTGACGGTTGACCATAGTCCATCAATTATAAAAAAATTCAGATTTTTGAATTTTTGTGATTGTTAATTGTAGTTCATCGATAGTCCTCGTGATCATCGACGGTCGACTGGAGACCAACAATGGGTCAAAATCTAGAATCTGTTTCTCTGATTCTTTCATATAGTTTGTTGATGACTTGACTTAACCATCGATAGTGCCTCATTATTATCTATGGTTCAAATGCTAAAATCAACATTTGTATTGATTTTTGCATCGTTTTGAACTGTAACTTGTTAATAGCTGTTTATATCTAAAATATATCAGCTCTCAAGTATATCAGTAGCAGATGAGAGTTTTTTATTAATCAAACTAGAGATATTGTACAAACAATGTTCTACCCGAACAATGTTCTAACAGGTAAGGTATCATAAAAATGTATTTTTCTTGACAAAAAATCCATGAGAATGTATGTTGAATCGCGTAAACTAAGATCGTAGTCCATCAGAATGCCCCAGTCATCCGTTAGACTCTAGCACTGTTCTCGTGCAACGGTTGAACGTTGAAATGCAAGCCCAAGCAACGTGTTCAGCCCATTAATTTGAAACATATAATCAAAATGGCCTAATGGTGGGCTTCTCCGAGACATTCTCTCTCCGAATATAGGCTGTCCTTGCGGAATGCACGTACTCATCTTATTGAGGTAGATATTAGCAAAAATCTGATTATATATTTGTGTTGGGTTTATGTCTTTGATTTTTTTGTAACTTCATGAGAACTAGATAAGATTAGAGGTCTATCATGATTAGGAGATTGAGTCTCATCATAATAAGGAGCTTGTATCCTATTCTAATTAGAAAATCAGACCAAAGATGGGTTTAGGTTTCTCTATCTATAGTCTTTTATTGTTGAAGGAAAAACTAAGAAGTGAGCAAATATTATTGTAATCTAGGTCAGTAGAAGGCGTACAACGGATTCAAGAATAGCATGCGAAAGGAGAATGTTTCGTAGTCTTTATCAGTGCCAAAGATTACAATATCGGCGAGGATTTTGTAGTCTTTATCCGTACAAAAGATTACAATATTAGCAGACACTTTCACAGTTTTTGTCTATCAAAGGATTGTGATCAGATGCTTTGGAGAGAATATGAGAGTTGATATATATGCGAGATCGAGAGATTGAGAAACAAGAACTGAGTGTTTCCTCTTGTAGTTTTCCCTGATACATAATGAAGTTCTTGTATTGTTGCCCTATGGATGAAGGTCAAAGTTGATCAATCGAACCATGTTAAATTTCACTGTTCTTCTTCTAGGAAGATATTTACCAAAATATTCTTTTTTTAGGAATGTTCAAATTTTATTAAATTATAAATGAGCTCAAGTTTCACGTTTTTGAATGGGAAATATGAGTAAAACCAAAATACTTCAGTGCATTCGAGCTCTTGTCCACAAAAGTTTTTAGCCTTTAATTTTGTTTTGAGATTCATGTACATATTGATGTTATTTTGAGATATGTGCATTGATTTGTGTGATGCTTGCATGAGTACCAAAGCAAAATCAACAGCTAAAAAAAGTTGATGGACAACAAGCCTCTGCATATTCATTTATTCATTGAGCATTAATCTAGAAAATATATTATATGCTTCACAAATGTAAGAACATCAATATAATAAATAATAATAATAACCTTGTTTTTTAGAAATGTCTATCCAAGGAGGTCCATTTTTTCAATCAGTCATCAACTTATCCCTTTTTTTAAGTTCCCTTTGGTATCGTTTGGCAAAGGGTTAAGTGAGGGGTTAATGAGACTTAACCCTTTTTTAACCCGCCAAACATATAAAATCTATACAAAGGTTAAAGTGAGTTAACCTTTCATAATTTGCCAAACATAAAAAATATAGAAGTGTTAAACTAACCCCTCTAGATGGATTAAAATGAGTTAACCCTTCAAAATAAGGAGTTTACTGATACTCCTATTTAGAATGATTAAGAGTTAACCCTTCTAATTATAAAGAAAATAGTCAAAATTCTTATTATTCCCAAACACTACAAATGATCATAAGGGTTAAAATAAAACTTTTATAACGAGTTAATAAATTAGTCCTCCAGATTATCGAATAGGTTAACTATGTTAATCATTCTCCTTAATCCCTCTTCCTTAAACATTTGCCAAACGGGGCCTTTGAATTTTGCTAATGTTCCAATCGAGCACTTGTATTTCTGAAAATAAATAGAAAACTATAAAAATCATCCCTCGTTAGGCTTGTTCATTCGGGCCATCCCGACTCGGCCTGGCCGGAAAATCAGGGTTTGTGCCGGGCAAAATGGGTGACCCGGACCTAGACCCGGTGGGCTCGGGCTGGGTTTGGGTTCGGATCCGAACTGGCCAGACACTGGACCGGTTCGGTTATTGTCTAGCCCGCCCGATTATTTTCTCTTTTTTAAAATTTTTTTGCTTAAAATAGCTGTTTTAGGCTATTTGGCAAGGCCGAGCCGAGTCGGGTCCGGACCGCTCGGTCTAATGATAAGTTTTTTTGCCGCTTAGATTGGGCCGGCTCCAGGTCTGGGTACTCCGGCCCGGTCATTTTC